ATGTCCTTATTTAGCAGCCAATTTTTATACTTAAAGACTAATTTCTGGTTTAAAATAGTTAATTTTTGAACTTGGTTTCATTTTTCGGGGGATAAGTCCTCTTTTAAGGCTCGGAATTTCTCCCCTTTGGGTTCGGATAATCGGATCGAGTAAAAGATTTGCCCTCGTCTTTTACCTTCTTTAAATTTCTTTTCGGCTATTTCTTGGACTTGCCCTAATAAAGAATAAGCCGTAGTGGATTGATGGTTTTCTTCGGTATAGTAAGAATTGATTTTTTTCACTAATTCAAATAAAAGATTTTGTTGGAGTTCGGTTTGAGGAGTGCCTAATTTGGCCGTTAAATATTGTTCTATTTCCCCCCGACCAACTATTTTTTTATTTTCTAATTGTTCTCAAAGGTTCATATAAGGGGTTTTAGACCACTTAAATAAAGAATTAAATAATATATTTAATAAATATTAATGCTGATATTCAACTTATATTTATTTACTTTTCAGATGAAAGTTTTTAATTATTAATTAAAATCTGCCTTTGCCCCAACCCCGTCTGCATCTCCTCTCCTTCTTTTCTTATTTTTATTTCTTTACTACATAAAGAATATATTAACGAGTTAATATACGCTATAAATGGTTATAAGAATAGTAGTAATATAATATAGGGCCGAGTTTAAGGCTAAATATTAATATCTATATTAGGTGAATATATGCTGAATATTAGAGAAATAGAAATCTATACTTTTCCTCGGCCTTCCCTTGGCAACTTGTTAAAATACTAGTATATTATTCCTCCGCCAGTTTTAACTAGCCACTGGGTTATTTAGCAGTGTTATTAGTATGCTGCTTATTCAGAATATCACGGAGCATAACCTCCGCCAGTGGTTTCTAGTCTCGTTTTCACTGATTAACTTTTACAAAATCCCATTCCAGGGACTACCTCATCCAATAAGGCTGTATTACTTCCGAGACAATTGCCCTCTTTTTTTTTGTTATCCGAGAAAAACCAATTTTGAAAGGTCGGAAAACTCGGGAGATTAATTTCTCAATTCTGCTTTAATCAGAGTTCAAAAAATAATCTTGGAAACCCCTCTTTTTCTTTTAGGTCTAAAAGAGGAAAAAAAGACTGGGGACTTGTCCCTCTGGACCGTTTATTTTTAAGGTCTCAAACTGGAAAAAAGACCACAATTGCTACAATATTTTCCTTGTCAGCAAGGGTCAGGGCAATCGTGTAGAACAAATTTCTTATGTTCCTTATCGTAAAATAAAGAGGTAAAGTGGGATTGTTGAGGTATTTGTTGATAATTGCCCTTATTTTGGGCTTGATTTTCCCCTTTTGAATACTTTTGGATTAGTTGTTGTTTTTCCTTGTCCTTTTCTCGTAATTTTTCTTTTAAACGATTAATTGTTTCCGTTTGTTCGGTTCCTTTTTGGTAAAATTCTTTTTGTAAATCCAAATATCTCTTTTTTCAGAGTTCAATAGCAGGATTAATGGGCTTTTGTAATTCTTGGATTTGCTGGGTTAATTTTTCAATTTCTTTTCCGTGTTTTTTTCTTTCATCCTCTAAAAGACCGTCAATATAAGTAGCAGGCAAAGTAGCAACGGCATCCAATTGTTTTTCTAATTCTTTTATCTGCCTTTCTAATTCAGGGCAATGGGAGCAGGGTTCGACATTTTTGCTTTCAGGTTTGCCATTCTCGGGTTTGCCATGGCTAACCTCTAATGGCTCAACCTGGCTAACCTGGGAAGTGGCTAACCTTGATTTGGCTAACCTCCTCTTTTCTCGTCGTTTTCGGTTTAATGCTTCCTTATTGGTTTGTCAATAATCTTTCAATTGGTCTTTATTGAATGGCATAATCGTAAATATTGGGGTCATTATTCCACAACTTACTATAATCAGCATACAAACTCTCATAATCATTGTGAATGTATTGGGAAGTGGTTTCTAAATTACTATGTCCTAAAAGTTTTTGAATGGTTGTCATTCTTACCCTTTTTCGGTCTAAAAGAGTAGCAAAACTTCTTCTAAAAGTATGAGGGCTAACCCATTTTTTTAAGCCTGCCAATTTGGTTCGTTCTCGAATTATTTCTCGAACTTTATCGGTTAAAATTTTCCGTCCTCCCTGATTGGTAAATAAATATCCCTTACTTCCAAGACTGATATATTTCACTAAAAAAGGAGGTAAAAGCACATATCGGACTTTATTACCTTTGCCTTGTATTCGTAAAGAATTATCGGACCAATCTCGGTGTTTTATGTTGACTAATTCGGATACTCTAATTCCGGAATAAAAAAGAAAATCCAAGATTAGATTGTTTCGGAGAAATATTTGCTCGTTTTTTTCAAATCGGGCTTGTTTTAATAAAGATAATTCTTTCTCATTAATGGTAGTAAAAAATTTTCTCATCTTTCGGGGAATTAAGCCCTTAATTTGGTCTCAATTTATATTCTCATAAATTTTCAAATATTTGCTATAAGAGATAAGGGCTGCCAGGTATAATTGACAAGTAGCAGGTTCCTTATTTTTGGCTAATTTTTTAATGAATTTAGTGATATTTTTGGTGGTTAGAGAGTTGTGAAAATAGTTGAGGGCTAAACGATAAATGGTTATCGTATTGGGGGATAGATTTTTGATTTTTAAATAGTTGAGATATTTATAATTCATAAGATTTTTTGGTTTGGGGTTTCTGTCCTTGGCACTTTTGGCAAAGTTTGTTAAATATTTGTTCAATACATTTGACTTGCTGGCACTTTTTACAGTGTCGGTTTAGTCAGATAAGGAGGGTTAAAATTAAAAAAATATTCTCGGTTATTAGAATGGTTAAAAGGATGGTTAGCATATTATTTTCTTTCTTTTTCAATATATTTC